AACATGACAGGGGAGCAAAATGAAACAACTGAAGACAGCCTGGAGGAAGTGTCCTATCACAAAACAAGGAAGCCAGAATCCCTCTTAGTGCAATCAAGTGCCAATTTTCAGTTTAAACATACCATGAACCAAAAAATATGTATAAATAAAATGACCAAAACGCAGGAAAGAACAGTGAAACACTGAAGTAAGATAGCCTTTAATTACTGATTAGCAAACACAGCATTACCTGAAAACCACTACATGATTACACATTTTTCTGTTTCACTGTCATATTCTGAAGTCTTTACATCTTCTACAATACTGGTGGTTCCCAATAGTTTTTATTTATTGATAGCTAAGTATGAATTAATTTTCATGACTCTTCACACTGTAACATGAAACACAGCAAATACAGACCACAGGAATATCGCTTGGTTTGCCTAATTCAAAATACAATCCCAAAAATGTAGTGCTAGAGAGCAGTAAAATTGGAGGCACCAGTTGCTACGTGATCTCCAATCAGCTGAAAGCTCACCTGGGAAGTGGAAAGAGGACAGGTTCAGGACTTTTCTGCGAACTGTATGTGCAACAATTATAATTCTTCAGGGATGATAAATATTAAAGCCAGCCTTGCTTTGAGCAGCAGGTTGGACCAGACAACCTCCTGAGGTCTCTTCCAACCTAAATTATGCTATGATTATATACCGTAGCAAACACTTAAAGCTGAAAATCCTGAAAATATTTTATAACCTCATGCATAAACCTTTGCCACAGAATTATTAACTTTTGAAACAGAATCTTCTCCCAGAGGATGAGAACAGGGCAGCAATCCACAAAATCTAGGACACAGAAGCACAATGGGTATGAACTTGTCCTAGTTAAGTAACAGAACTAATGAAGTTTGTACATTACCCTTATACCAAGACGACTTACACAATTTAAACAGTAATCCGATGGAAGAGACATTTCTGGTTGTACAAACAGACCTGAATAACTTACAAAGGATACTAATAGTGAGCTGTGCTACTGGCAATCATAGAATTCAGGTCACTTGGAAAGTCATAATCCTTGGGATCCAAGCAATGCCAATAAAAGGGAGCCTCAAGCCACGCTAGCAGTATCAGATACATAGATATTGCCTATATCAGTTCTTGTGTTTCAAGAACTGAAAACATGCTGGCATAAACTTCTCCATTCTCTCTGCCTGCCTTTTGTCTCTCTATGTGACCTGGAGAATAAGGAAGATGTAACATTTGTTTATAAGAAAGAGAAGTTTTTCCACCAAGTAAAAGGAAATGAGTGATAACGCAAAGTCTCTGCAGGGAGGGTTCAGAAGGGAAACGGCTGAAATAGAAGCAAGAGATCCTCTGTAATTTTGGCCTCCAGAGATAAATTGGAGTAAGACTAATAATCTAAACAATTGAGCCAACTGCCTCATTACAAGGCAAGGTAAACCAAAAAACAGCTTTATGACTTTCAAGGGCAGCTAACTTGTGGACAAGTTAGGTGAGCTTTAATTATCAGGATAGAAGATCATAGTACAAATTGCAAAGAGACAGGAGACAGTGATCCAGCTAAAGAAAAAAGTGATCAGCCCAAAAACACAAGTTAGATGGCAGCTGAAGAGATGCAATTAGAGTTCCTGTTGACTGAACTATATGAGTATGAAGTCTTCTCTATATAACACAAACAAGAAGGCAGTATCTATGCCCACAAGTGTTTAGGTGGAAGGACAACTAGAGGAAATTAAGATAGATATGCAAATTGTTCTACATTTAAAAAAAAAGATCTGTCAAATTGATAGAGTCTTTCTGGGAGACAGAAAAGTGAGAGAGAGCATTGCTCTCTCTTGTTGCTAAGAGTAAAACCACCTGAGTTACTACACAGGCTTCTCTAAAGACCCCATTAATTTATTTGTGCTTATTTTATTTTATATGAGAGTAAACAGAGATGACATTCAGCTACTTCTGGTCTACAAATGCTTGTAATGCATTTTCAAGATAGAAAAGAAGAATCACATCCTAAAGTCAGTGGCATTTTACAATAAAGAGATAAGCTTTAGATGCTATTCAACAATTTTGTCACTTACAAAAATATTAGAAGGGTAATTTTGCCTGATGTTCCTTTAGAGGGAAAACTACAGTTTCAGTGGATGTATAGACTTGTACCAGCACCTGGAGGTCACTAACAGGCCTTAATGGTCCCTCCTCTGGGACCTCCACCCACACGTTTAGTCCTGTGTCTTCAGTCTCTGCCATGGACCTGCCCAGCCATCACTAGACCTGACCCTGACCTTGACCTGTGGATTGACTTCCTAGCTTGGCCTTGGACCTGCCTCATCACCATGGACTTACTTGCCTGATGGTCTGCACCCTTGCTGAGCGTGGCCTTGACCTCTGGGCCTGCCCTTCTCCCTTGTAGTGGGGCTGGGCTTTGCCCGGCCATTGTATGTTCTTCCCCTCTGCTGCTGGTGGCTCCCATCCCTCACTGCTCCTGGAGGGCCAATTAGTTATTTCCTCCAGTTTTTCCTGTGCTGTCTGCACAGGGAAGGGAGAAACTCTGCACAGAGCTGAAAAAGGAAGGATGGAGCTCTAATAATTTCAAAGACTTAGGACTCAACATGCTCTACAAAAATCACCTGAATTCAAGGAAGTTTTAACTGGATCTTTCATTACCTGAAGGCTTTAATGAATCACACTAAATTTGAGTTTGCAGTCTGCAGTTGAGTTTGCACTGAGTTTGCAGTCTGACACAGAAGGTTGTTGCTTACCTTTCAAGAGAAAATAGAAAGACTTTGAATTCAAGTGCATCATTCTACCAAACCTTTGAAAGCTGTAGTTTTAACATTTCTTTAGTGATCCTGACAGACATGAAGTCCATCCCTTTGTCCCAAAAGAAGACCAAGAATCCCTATGTTGTGTTCAACAACCTACCCAGGCTATTCTACTGTTTTCCACTTTTAATCTTTCTCAAAACTTCAAAAAATCTCTAGATTACTGAACTTTTTAATAGACATCTCTGATCTACTTCCTTCTTGAAGACGATACTAGACCTGGTGTTCCAACTTACATTTAATAAGCACTAAGTAGTGTTGAAGTTTACTCTGTGTGTCTTAAGTGTCAATATTGCGTTACATCAGGAGTGGTGAAATGAGAGCTGTTTGCTTTCTTTCTACTTTTTACACTAGGTCAAGCAGTTTGACCTTCTTGACCCTTACCCAGTTTGTGGTTCATTGTAGTGCTTCCCGTACCTTTCTTTGGAGATCTGCTGCCTAGATAACCATTTTGCACTTTTTCACTTATATATTATTTATATTAAAACCTTTCTTTACTTGTCAAGATCATTCTGAAACCTAATCCTGTCCTCTGCAAAGTGCTTGCAGATTTTCCCAAGTAGGTATCAACTACAGATTTAATAAACATTTTCTCTATCCCACTATCTAGAGAAAACCTTGTCTCTTTCTGGAGAAAACTACTTGACAGAATCCCATCCTTCTTGTTTGACAGTGAACCACTGATAACTACTCTTTGAAATTATAATTCCAAGCCAGAGAAGGATAAAGCATATCATACTTTTTAGTGACTTTTTGCTTCAGCATTTGTTTTAAAAACAAATATTCAACTGATCTGATCTGATATCATTTAACCTTTGTGGCAGGAATATTGGTTAGAAACTTCTCTTACAGTATCTTCCTCAAGATCAAGTTTCCCTACTTTTCTTTAGGAACACCTTTAACATTTTTATAAGTCATAAAACATCACACTTATCACCTACCCCATCTTCTGGAGACCTGTTATCCTGTCATAGAGGGAAATTAGATTACTTTACATGATTTATTCTTGTCAAATCCGTTTTGGCCATTGTTTAGCATCTTTTAATCTTCTGGGTGATTCCAAACAGATTATCTGCTCAAGAGTCTTTCCAGGAATTAAATTTAGCCTGGCTGGTCTGTAATTCCCTGGGTCTTTGTGTGTTTTTTGGAAAGACAGACACAAAGATTTCTTCCCTCCCCCTACAATTCACTTACTTTTTATCCTTTAATTCTCAAAGCTCATAAGGGAAGACTCTTAAGATTTCTTAAGTACTCCATAGTGAATTAATTGTGTCAGACAATTTGAAAATATCTGACTCATCTAAGCAGACTCTAACGTGTTTCTTACCCCCCTTCACTAGTTTTAATTATGCTAGTCTTCAGAACACAGTCAGCCTTTTTTTTAATGAATGCTGAGGAAGGAAAAAAAAACCCCAAGCACAAAACTGGCATGCCTCTATTAGTTTTGCCTTTCTGTCAATTAATGGGGCAACTCTTTCAACTTGCTCTGATTAATTACTTATAGGATATTTTCTTTTAACTACTCTATTGTTAAAACCATGCTTAAGGCACTTGGCCCATACTTTATGGCAATTTCTATGACGAAAACATTGCTTAGCATGAAACTCAGAAGATTCGGAGGGTGTAGTGTGTGATCTTATCAGTTCTGGGGCCTTCAGCCATTTCTGTCTCAGTAAGCTCCTCCTGTATTTTCAGCTATAGACTTAACAGATTTTGTCCCCCAATATTCAGACCAATCAGACTGATGCATATAATAAATCAGAGCACAAAAGGAACACAATAAAATTAGATTTATTCTCTCTTTTAAGTGAACCAATGTCAGGATACAAGCCTCCTTCAAAATCATACACTTTGGCAAGTCAAAGAGTATAAAGGAACCTTTGCTACAAAAAAAAAAAAAAAAAAGGTTTTTTTGCACTTGGGTGCAATGATATTGGTGTAAAAAACAGTCAAGGGAAAGCATGGGTAGTTTTTACTATAGACAGTCAAATAAGCCCCAGAAGGGAATTAAGTTTATTCAGTACAGCAAATGTGACCTAGTAAGACAAAGCCAAACAAGATTGAAACAGTGGGTCTGTTTCTTTTTACTTAATTGTTATTAATGGAGGAAGCCTGATATTAGTACCTCCTTGGAAGTCTGATATTAGTAGCTCTCTTTGTGTACTGGAAATTATGCAAATCTTACCTCAGAGAACCTTTGTACATCCTGGGTTAAAGTTCCTACTCTCTTCCACTGATAATATTTGAGTAACTTCAAAATTGCTGGATTCACTGCATTATCAGATGGCACTGTCCGGAAGAAATAAGGATATTTTTTCTTATCAGCCAACTCTGGGGTTGTTGCTGCAAATGAAAGCTGGGAAAAAAAAAAAAAAAAAAATCTCTAGTCACCATAAGTCATCTAGCATCCAGAAGAAAAACTTTGCTCTTCTCAGTGCAACAAGACACAATCCATGCATTGCAGTCATGTAGTGAATTTTCATCATCCTACAGCTTGGAAGTCCTACCAGCACCATTTACTCATCTACTTTTAAAGGGATTTTTGAAATACCTTAGTCCTATAAACCACCTGCTACAAAATTAAACGAGGGAATCTTCAAAGTCAATGGTGTAAAATCCTCTGTTTCAGATCATGCATCTTACATATTGTGCAGAGCAAGAAGCTCCAAGGAAGTAAACCTCTATGACGACTTCCCCATCAGCTTCCTTCTACATTCTCTTCATAAAAGTTGAGAATTGTTCCAAGGGGATATTCTCAAACTCTTACGTATCTTTGACTTAAAGAGTGAACCTCTAGTAGCACCTCTTCCTATCTTCAGGTAATAGAAAAGGTACCAGAAACAGAGGGAATAATTATAGCAGCCAACGCTGCAGCTCAGAAGTTTACCTGGCTCCCAGTTTCCTCCACTGAATCAGCCCCCTGTGATCTGTTTTATCAAAGGGAACTCAGTGGCTAATTCTACGCATCTAAAAACACCAGAATTTGTACATGGTTTGAGAATGTTTATAATGAAAGAAAAGAGGAAACCTGTTAACATGAAAAAAAATCAGGAAACTTCACTGAATTCTTCTGCCCAAGTTAAAGGCAGCATATTTTTGTGTATTCTATTCTATTCTATATTTTTGTAAATGATTTTCAGGCAGTGTTATGAAGAGAATGCCTGCATATTCACTTTCTAAAAATGCTCCTATTCCAAAGATATTTGTGGTTATTTCCTCCAGTATCTTTTAGGTTGCTAGGAATGTATTTCTCAAGCTTTTTTTTCAACCATGCATAGCAGTTGAGGGTTTTTTAAAGTACCGATTTAATGTAAATTAGTGTGACTGTCGAAAAATAGGCTCCCTACTACAGTTGCGTTAAGCCTTTCAAAATCAATAAAGAGTCGGAAAGTATAGGTGAATTCAAGCCTAGATAAGTACTTCCAACTATAGTATTAAGTTTACACTTTCTTCAATCAAGCATTCAGTACATTTGGACTAGAAAACCTCTTTTGAAATTCAGAATAGACAATTATAATCTGAAATAACAGCTCTAACTTTTTCTTCATGTTTATAAAATCTAGATTTAGCCTGGCAGAGAAAGAAATAATTCTCTGTCTGATTTTAGACTCACAAAGAACATATTGCATTGTTATAATATCCTAAATCTGAATACAGTTTATTTTCTTAATTAAAACCCCTGAAATCCAAACAACATGAAGTGTGCATAACTGGACAGTTTACACTCTACCATTCAAAAAGAGAAGATTCTTTCTCTTCACCAGTCATTAGCTAGAGGAGATTTTTTAAGACCTTCTACTGCCATGTAATTCTAAGGTAAAATATTTTTAATATACCAACTGCTTTTTTTTAGATTTTATGAAAAAAGTACACTGTGAGGTAGTGTGCTGTTATGGTCTTGATTTTCCGGAACCGTATTGGTTGGCTCACTTAGAACTTCATAGCATTTAGTAATTAGCAGTGAGTTTGCAAAGAGCTGATTTCAAGGGAAAAAGAATGAAGGTCTGCCAGGTAGACCTAGCCAGCTTTTCTGTCTAGCCTTGTAACGCTGAAGATCATGCATCCACTGCATAATGAAAGTGGAAATAAGGACCTCTATCTCTGACTGAAAAAGAGAGAAAATCTGACTTTAGAAATCCAAGATGAAGAGGAATGCGTCTCAGCAGCCTGGCTGCTTGCAGCCTGGTGACTGCAAAGGAATTGCTTTTCAAGATATTATGGTTTTGGATCAAATGTAATTTGATTGATCCTTAAGAAAAAGAAGTAAAGAGCAATGCTGAAGTAACAGTAGTGACAAGCAACATCGGCAAGGTTCACCTAACTCAGGTTCACAGACTGAATGGTAAATTTTTCTGATCAAAAGTACAAAAAGCCTTAGTAATGAGGAGCATCTCTACAGCTGTGAGCTGGCTTTAGGGTGAAGATCTGTGATATAAGCAAGGCAATTCAGATCCATCCTTTGACATTTTAGTGACTTAAAGTGCCTAAATTAGTATCCTAATTGCCCAAATTTCCTTGGGAGACAATGAAGCAAAACCTTACCTCTCTTCATTGATTAAAGAAAGATGAAGAAGACTCATAACTTAGATTTCTCAGCCATGTAAAGTGAGATGAGATGAATCCAGGTTTATGTGTAATACTAATGACAACTGAATTACAAAAGAACATTCCTCTTCATTTTCTTTTTGAAGAAAGGTTTTATTAAAATATGAAATGTGAAAATTTCATGCTCAAACAATTCTTGGAATGTAGGATATGTTCAGAGGCCTTTCTTTCAAGGATCACATATATCATGGTTGGTCTCATTCTGCATCACTTTGCCATTATAATAAAACACTCATGAGAGATGGACGAATAACCTGAAATAGTTATGTCAGTCCTTTTTCTTTTTTTTTTTCCTTCTTTCTCACAAAAGTTAAGTCATTGAAAATATTTAACTTTTCACAAAGTCATATGAGATTTTGGGGACATGCAATGAATTTAACCCAACAATCACCAGCACTCAATATTCTGCTCTGAGAGGGACAAGGAAGGAAAAGGAAGAAGAAAAAAAATCACTATGTTTTAAAAAGTGGTGATGAAAAGATCATGTTAATAAATAAATTGGCACAATGTAGACTTACTGGAAAAGTGTGTGATATAGCACGGCTATATAGAAACATCAGTAAAATATTCATAACAAAAACTTTAACCTATGTGATAAAACAAATAACATCACAACACAGTCCACCCACATATGCATTAAGATGGTACAGCCCTTGTTAATTGAACATAAATCCTCTGTATTTTAGGGCTAAAGTTGTTTATTCACAGCTGATTTGAAACTTGAACCTATTGAAAGACAAAGTTTTCACAGTTTCTTCACTTCATTCTACAGGACTGAAAGCCATAGAGATCTGATTCTGCTTTTTGTTACGGGAATTTCTTTTTATAACTTTTAGTTATTTAGTCAAAAATCTGGATGAATGACAATCCTACTGCTCATACAACTTTTTGCAAACCACAAAGGTACTATTTTTCACATTACTGTATTTTCAGAGCATACATATTCATGCATTGCTAAAAAAAATTTGTTACAGGTGTTACATAGCTGCCTCTCTGTGTAGAGAAAGAGTGAGAGAGAAAAAAGTTGTAAGTGGGATTATAACTCAGCAATAAATGCTTGTGGAGTGTATGATGTCATTCTTTCACAGAAAATTATTTTACATAACTGCTAAAGGTGATGGCCAAAAGCTAAACTTCAAGAAGGGATGAAAGGCAGGAAAAAAGTTTTTTTCAAATTGCTATAAAATTGAGGACACAGTGGACATATACCAGGTGATGTATCATAATTGTGTGTGTGGTGTTTGTGTGTGTGCGTATGCAAAGAGACTCTGTTCATAGAATCATAGAATCATTAAGGTTGGAAAAGACCTCTAAGATCATCGAGTCCAACCATCAACTCAACACCACCATGCCTACTAAACCATGTCCCTGAGCGCCTCATCTACACGTCTTTTAAATACTTCCAGGGATGGTGACTCAACC